TATCATTCTTCATGGAAATAGAAGAAAAAAATATCCCCAAAGTTCCTATGTAATCAATTTCCTATGGAAGCTATTAAAGGAGAAAGAACAAAGCTAGAGGTGTCACACTATCTGATCTCAAAATCTGCTACTTAGGTATCATAATTAAACAGCATACTACTGTCTCTGAAACAGATATATTGACCAATGAAACAGGAATGTTCAGAAATCACACATTTATGATCGGTTGATTTTCAACGAGTTTGAAAAGAAAATGTGATAGAGAAAGAACATGTTTTTCAACATGCTGTGTTGGGAAACTGACATCCTCAAGTAGAAAAATTAAAGCATATATGCAAGCTATAATTCAAAATACACACAATACAACATATACAAAATTCAACTTAAACAGTAAACCAACTCAAAGTGGATTAAAGATTTAACCTAAATCCTGAAACTAAAATCTACTAGAAAAATCCTACAGTGAAAGTGCTCAACAACATTGATCTGGACAAATATTTCTTGAATACAATCTGAAAAGAATAGGAATTAACAACAACAGCAAAGCGATAGTTAGCTGTTGTGTCAACTTGAATAAGAAATGTCCAACTGAGGGGTTTAGCATAGCTCTAGGTGTGGCTGAATAGATTTACTGATGACAGAAGCCCTACCCTAACTGTGAGTGGTACCAATCAAGAGGCTTGGAGCCAGAATGGAACAGAAAGGAGAAAGAAGTCTCGTTTTTTTTTTGTTTTTTTTTTTTTTCAGAAGAGCTAAAGTCTTCAGCATCACTGAGGGACATCTGTCTGCACAGATCCTTCAGTCTTCCATCTCAGACTCTTCAGCCTTCCAACACTGACCCTTTGGCTTCCAGCCTGACACTGCCATAGCTCCAGGTCCTTCTCCTTTCACTGGATTGTTCAGCTCTTCAGCTACCAGACAGAACTTTTGGAGTCTTCCACATCCGATTCTGTGGGTGGCCATTGTAAGCCAGCCTTACAAGTGCTATACATAGCTCCCCCGCCTCAAAGCTGGCATCCTAGCGAACCCTGATACAAATAACAGCAACAACAAAAATCTAAACAAACAAGGTGCAATTACAGCAAACTATAAAGCTTCAGCAAAGAAATAGAAATAATAGAGTAAAAATACAATTCACAAATCGGGAGAAAATATTTGCAAGACACAATCTGTTGAGGGGCTAATTTTCAAATAATAAAAAGAAATTAAACAACTCAATAGCAAGACAATTCCATTTAAAGAGAAAAAGAAAAAAGTACTTAAATATACACTTCTTAAAATAAGGATATAAATTGTAAATAAATATATGAAAAATGCTCATCATTAGTGATCCAAAGGGAAATACATATTAAAATCACAAGCTATCACATTACACTTATTAAGAATGGCTGTAATCAAAAAGACAAAAGAAAAGTGTTGTCAGTGTTGTAGACTTATCCACTGTTGGTGAAATTTAAATTACTATAGCCAGTATTGAGAACAATATGGAACTGTTCTTAGAAAATTAAGAATAGAATTATCATATGATACAGGAATTCCATTCTTGGTTATATATCCAAACGAATTGAAATCAATATGCTAAATAGGTATTTCTACTTCCTTTTTTGTTGAAATACTAGTAATGATAGTCAAACTTTGGAAAAAGTCCAGGCAATTATCATCAGAGGAATGGATGAAGAAAAAGCGTGGCCTATATGCACCGCTGAAAATCATTCAGCATTTAAAATTGGGGTCTCTGTCATTTCCAACAAATGAAAGATATTATGCTAAGTAAAATGAGCCAGACATAGAAAGACAACACAGGGTATGACTTATATGTAAAAAACAAAACTATATACCAGAGGCAGGAGTAATTGTGGTGGTAGGTATGGACAGGAGAGTTGTTGTACAAAAAGTACAGTTTCCATGAAACAAGTATAATATGCTTTAGAGATCTACTATACAGATAGTGACTATAATAAATAATGCATTGTATATTTCAAAATTATTTAGAATTTTAAAAAATTTATTCAAATGTTTTTGAAATGTGAGGCTATAGACTTACCTTATTTTAATTATTTCACATTGTAAAAATATATCAGAACCCCACATTATGCTTTACACATATATGTTGTTATAATTTGTCAATACCCAAAATCATGAGATTTTTGGACTGATATGCCTTATATAATCAGGAATAAACACATATTGTAAGAATTGTGTCAAACAGGCAAAGCCATTAATATTTATATTCCTAGATACTAAGTAGTAGATAGTGATTAAAATATTTGAGTAGTGAATTCACAATTTATAGTAAGGCTGATCTTGTACAAGTAGATGTAATTTTTGGAAGGAAGGAAGATAAAAATTAATGTAATACCTTACAGTTAATGTACTGAGGATCTGGGTACTGATAAGAATGTTTTATGAAAGTCTCTTCTTCTATTCTTTAACATATACTAGATATGCTTGTACAAAACAGTGTACTAAGCTCTATAAATATAACTTTAAATGGGAGAATATATTATCTGTGAAAATGGGAGCTTAGAATTTAGTTTAGCAGGTTTGGGGTGGGAGGAAAAGTAATTACATAGGAAATTATATACTCACAGTAACTGTCACAGTGGATGTCTTTATGTGATACAGATGCATGTTGGGGAGACTGGGTTTCAGAAAATGCTGGAGTAATCTGGGACCCTCATGATGAGCAGGCATTTACTAGTGAAACGGAGGGTTTGTGTTCTTGGAGATGGAAGAATGATGTGAGGAAGAGCTAATGCCTTTATAGGAGCTAGATTTGCTGCACAAGAAGACAGAGCTTGAAAGAAAGTTGTGAAATATGACAAATGCGGAAGCAGGGAGCAGATTCTGAACTTCCCTTACAAAGGACATTAGGGACTGGATCTCACGTCAAAGTTACAGGGTAACATTGAGTTTTAGAAGAGACTTTATGTCCAGCGATAAAAATACCGATTTGCACTTTAGAAATAGCACATGAATTTCAATGTGGAGAAAGGAAAGTCACAAAACTGGAGGAGAAAAGAGACAGTTCAGGAACGTGCTATAGAAATCTAGAGGAGAAATGCCTGTGTATTAGGTATAATGTTCAAGATGGTCTTAATATTGTTCACAGTTTGACTCAACTTCTTTTGTTGAATCTTGTTGAATCTAGACCCGTTACCATCAGTATCTTAGAGAATTTACTTTTTTAAAATATTAATTTTATTGGTACATTTAAGGTATACAATATACTGACATTCACCATTGGAAATTTGCACCTTTACATGATCCATCTTGGTTCTTATTTGTTTTCCCCATTCCCCTGCCCTCCCTTCAACCCCCCATCCCTCCCTATCTATAAAGACTTCATTCTACTTTACAAAACTCGTAATTGCTAAAAATTCCTTTGCCTTTTGAGAGGCACATCTTTTTAAAATGGTTTATCAGTTTTGTAGCATGAACATGTCTTTCTTGAGGACCTGAAGCCATCCATTTAAAATGTAGTAATTGCCGGGCATGGCAGTGCATGCCTGTAATCCCAGCACTCGGTAGGCTGAGGCAGGAGGATCGCTGTGAGTTCGAGACTAGCCTGGGCTACATAGTGAGTTCCAGGTCAGTCTCAACTACATAGTGAGACCCTGTCTCAAAAAACAAAAACAAAAACAAAAAAATAAAATAAATAAAAATAAAATGTAATTATCAAGGAAGTTAGAGGCCATAACTCCCAGTTTCCATGGACGATAGCAGCTTAACTATAAAGGACAACCTTGCTCCAAGTGGTGATTCTATAGATTCTGTCATGAAGAAAATGTTTAGAACAACTCTTTCTGACTCATTTAGGTGAAAGCAGTTAGCTAACTTGTTGGCTTTCAATCCTTCTCAACCACTTCTAAAATTTTCAGCACTGTGTTTTAGCAGAGTTGAGCTTAGTATAAAATCTAGTCTTGCTTCCTTATTGCAGTAAACGTGAATAAAGTCTGTCTTTCATGTTTCACTTTGGTGCAATTCTTTTTTGATAGTGAAGATGGTGAAAGGTAAGCAAATATTTAGAAGAAATGTCCCGAAAATGTTTGGGAGATAGGAAAATCAGAACATACTATATGATTATCTATGAGAGGATTCAAAAATTATTTCTGACTTGGGCACTGATAATTTCCATTAGGAATACGGAAGTTGAATTTGATTTATGGGGTGAGATGATTCACCAAGGTTTGGGTATAGTGAGAGTCACGAGTGTCTGTAAGCCATCCAAGGACAGAAAACCTGCAGGCATGCAAATCATACATCCAGAGGTCAGGAGACAGGACTGAGCCGGAGTTCTGTGCCTATGTATGATATTTGAAATTCCACAGCTCCATTAGATGTCTAGGAAAAATAGGAATAATTGAAACACTTAGGTCAGAGTTCTAATGAACTCTAATGAAATTGATGGAGAGGAAATCATAAAAAAATTTTTGAAAATTGTTATACAGAAAAGTAGAGAAGCAGAATTACTGCCAAGAATGCAAGTGAAATTATAGAAACCAATGATGAGAAAATGCAAATGCACTGCCTGATATGATGCTGCTGAATCATGTAATTTCATACAGGTTTACCTAAACCATTTTTTCATAATAACCTAAGCCAAATTGCATCATGAAGAAGATAATGAGGTCATGTCTCCTCATATTTTGTAGGCTAATTCAGTATAAATTTGTGTTATTGAAAGTATACTTTGATAATAAATAGTGCTTATTAAAATGTTTTGAATTTTTAAAGAAAACTTCCCAAGCGAAGTATTTTTTTCTTTTTTATGGTGGAAGATATTCAGTTAATGGCAGATATACAAGCTATAATAAGGCAGTTCTTCCTATTAACATGAACTTGGAGCAAAATTGCCGTTTTTTAAATTTCAAGAATCACCTCTAGAATTTTATTATTTGAAATGTTCTAATTCATTTGTTGCTGTTGACATTTTGAGGTTGTGTCCAGTAACCTTGGTAACTGTTCATATTTCTGCCCTAATCTACTTCTATTTATAGAGCTTCTATAGTTCAACGACTTCAATGAAGATTACTGTGAAAGCAGAGCAGGGTTACAAAGTACAAGTTTGTAGTAAGTGAATATTAAATATATTTATAGATCCTGATCATCAGAAAAACTTACTTGTTTAAATTTGTGATTTTGAGTTACCAGTAAATATGTGTATGTGTGTGTGTGTGTGTGTGTGTCTGTGTGTATTTTAAAGGGCAGCACAATCTCATGCTGAAATAATGAAATAACTATAGTCAAATTAAAGACGTTTTAATGTGTTTTGTTATTCATGCTCTATTCATTAAGCTCAACCAACAGCAACTGGAGAAGACAGCTTCAAATACATTCAAATGAAAATGTGACCCCCTTAAGTACTGATAAAAAAGTCCAAATAATTTTACCCACTATATGTAAGACACTACCATCATATATTAAATTGCAAATGAAAGAACATAGCCTTTGACTTATTTTTAGATATTATTGGCTTTTAAACTAAATAAAAAGAAAGAACAACTAGAGCATACGTCTTTCTTGGACAAGGATACAAAAAAAATCTGTCTTAGATATGCATAATGTGAATATTAGGGTAAGATTTCCTCTTGTTTTTATCTCCTATTTAATGAATATATATATATATATATATATAATAAACATAAGAAGCCAAGCCCTATATAAATTCGCAAAGGTGGCTAAGAACTTTTCAAAAGAAAGGACACTGGATTCTCAAACTCCCAAAATTCTACCAGGAAGAAATTTCTTAGTATGGTGCCAGGCATTCAATGTTGAAGAAATGAGAATTTAACAATTTCAGTTTTTTGTTGTAATCAACTACCAAGAGTTTTCTTTTTGATCACTATTTTAGTTCTACATTATTTAAGTTAATATATAAATGTTCTGGCATCATTAAGAATCAATCATATTAATCAACCTCTTAAAACTGTCCTAATTAATTTCCTTCTTTAAGAAAAGAAAATCAAAGACTTTTGGCAATAAGGAGTCTAGTACATCAAAAATATCTGGTACCACATATCCAGGAAATTAACTATGCATGTTAGTCTCACCTTATTTGAAGGAGATATGTTTCTAGACTCCCAGGGGATACCTGAAACCATCAATACTGCCAAATCCTATCTGGTGTATATATATATATATATATAGGTGTGTGTGTGTGTGTGTGTGTGTATGTTTGTGTGTGTGTGTACATATATATGTATGTTTTTGTTCAGCAGCATAAATGCTGATTTATAATTTAAGCTAGTAATTATGAATAACTAATTGTGATGGCTCCAATGTGCCATAAAAGCCCATATGCCAAAGGTTCAGTTTGGTCATACTGGGAGGGAGTACAAAAGTTAAGAGTTGGGGACTAGTGAAGGAAAGTTAAGTAACTGAAGGTGTACCCTTGTTAGGGGATTGTGGTCCTTGTCTGTTTCTTTCTTTTGCTTCACAGTCACCACAAATGGACGAACAGATGTGTTTGCTATAGACTTTCAGCATGATGTATTGCACAGGCCCAAAGCAAAAATTACCATGGACTACAACCTCTGAAACTTTGAGCCAAAATAAATCTTTCCTCCTTCTAAGTTGATTAACTTAGGTATTTTCTCACAGTGTTAGCTAACTGATGTTATAAGTATTATTAACTAATAGTAAAATAGAACAATTATAGAAAGACTGTAACAGAATTGCTAGTTTCACTCCTCTTGAGCTTTAGAGGCATAATTAAGTGAAATAAGGGTTACTTGGATACAAGCAAGGTGACAATACCATGAAGGATCTGACAAATGAGATGACTACTGAGTGATCAGTCATCAGATAGCAAATATAGTTTGTATAGTCTGGACTAGAGGTGATTCTCCATTCAGGTGGAGCAGAGTGCTGAGTGAGATTTCATCATGCTCCTGACAATGTCGGGCCCCTGCAATTTAAATCTTATGAATTAGTTATTTCTGGAATTTTCCAATTAAAACTTTTGGCTTGTGGTTGACTACAGGTAATTGAAATTCCAGAAAGTGAAATCATGGGTAAGGAACTTAACAGTTAATCAAGAGGTTTTTATTTATGAAACAAATGCCTTAAACCACTCAAAAGAAATAAAGATACAGACGCACCTCAATTTAAAATGGAGGAATGTAGTCTGATAAACTCATAGTTTGAAGCTATCATAAGCCATAAATGCATTTAATACACCTAGCTTTGTAAACAACATACTTTTGAAAATACAGCGACTGTAGAGGAATGGCTGCTTACTCTCAAGAACCCATGGCTGACTGGGAGCTAACACTTTCTCAACACTGCCAGAATTATAAAAAAAGTTATCAGCATATTACTAGTTTGGCAAAACACCCAAATGTTAAATTCAAAGTATAGTTTTTACTATATTTTACTAAGTTTACTATATATATTATTGTCACACAAGTAGCACATCACAAAGTCATAAGTGAAACCATTGGAAAGACTCTCAGTATAAAACCAGGACAAATGAGTTGATGCCTCATATGTAATTAATTGTATACAACCAAAGTTTATTACTGATTATTTCCTATGTTCTAGAAACAACTACATTTCTCTCATACCTAATTCAATCTTCAAAGATCACCATAAAATTGTTACTACTACTGCCACAGTCTTACAAATGAGAAAATTCATGAGATATGTAAATTTTCCAACATTATTGAAATAATATTTAGTAGAAATACAATTTGAAACAATATTTCTAATATACCAAATACTCTCTTCTGGACTTCTCTGTTTTAAAGCAGTGATAAAAAAGGCGAATCATTTGCTCACCCATTCCACTCCCTAAACTCTCTTTTATTGAGTCTCCTTAAATCCATACTTGTCCCTAAGCAAGTTGGAGGAAAATTTTCTCAGCTGTCCTCTACTGCAAGGATTTATCCAATTCCCCAAGTTCCAACCAGCAATGCTGTCTCTATTGCACAAAATAAACCAAGGCAAAGATCTAGAAATTATAACTTTTGTCTTAATGAAATATCACAGAGATCGATGTGATAAAAAGACCAAATGAGGAGTAACTGCCTCTGCTTTTCTGGATTCCACACATGGGAGACCAGCTTCTCACACAATGAGATCCCCTCCTGTGTGTCTACTTCCCAAGGTGAAGTGGTCAACCAAGGGAAATGGCCTAGGTCTGGGCTTCACTAGGTAGACTGTGAATTGTAATAAACAAACTGATTTTGTTACTGCTTTTAGGACTGGGGAATTTAGAAAATTACAGAGTTTTAAAGGATATGCTTCTACAGTTCATGCTCTTGTGTTTCATAAATCATCTTCCTAGTATAGACTTAGAGTACCAGCTCTAGCTTATGGTCTGTAGCAGTAGTAGGAAAACAATATCTTAGGGAGCGATGAGCCTCTATCCAAGTTTATGAATGTGCTGTTCTGGAAACACTGTGTGGCTAGAGCCTGATGACTAGGATTTGGTCTCAGTCAAGATGACTTGAGTAAACTACTTAAATTCTTGAAATCAAACTGGCTAATTAGCAAAATAAAGGAAAAAATTTTTAAAAACCCTCCAGGGATTTTTCACAATAACATCAAGTTTGGAAATGTTCCATAGCTGTAATGTTAACTAGCCTTGCTGTGTTTGAATATAAAATATGGGTTAGCATGTGTTTAGTATAATACTGTAGGAGGGAAGGCTTACAAATACCTTGTTATAAGTAAGTCAGTATAGGAAATGTATTATCTCAAGAGAAGTCTATTTTCAGGCTTCTTCCAAATTTGAGTTTTTAGATAAAAGTTGCCTATTTCAACCTTTTTGAAAGTATGGACAGAATAAAATGAACTCTGTCAAGAATTTGCTGTAAACCTATAACAAACTCAAACTCTCTTTTTTATTGTGGAATGTTTTATCAGTTGATGCCACCACAGTAATGATCCAGTGAGTGTTCATGTTTAATAGTTTCTAATTATTTAATAGTTAATTTAATAATTAATTAAATTTAATAGTTTCTAATTTCCATTGCCACTTCGTTAAGGCAACACTATTTTTCTTTCATTGGCCATGGACTTTATCTCACTGTTTATTAGTTACAGACTGTTACAATGCCCAGTGGCATATGCCACTGGTGACACCAGTTACTGATGATGTTCAGCCAAAGCTACTAAGAGTGAAATGTAGAAAAAATCATAACAAATATCTATCACTTTATTATTAAACAGTGTCTGAAACTGGTTCTAGCACCTGCTCAATAGAGCAGAGTCTGTGTAATCCAAAAACCAAAAAAGGCATTTACTCCCTTGTAATAGCAGCAAACAAAAAGAAATCTAGACACTTTCCTTGTACCATGATCAAAAAGTCTACATTAAACATTGAATGGAAATAAAGTAATTTTCAAGATAATATATTTTTAAACTGAATGGTATATTCCCGATGAAGGTGCTTGTGAAATGTGTCAAAGATAAACTCAATTCATTGGGCCCAAATTACAGCAATTTTCAATAGAAAGCAAAGGTTCGACATGGACATGCAAATGAACACATTAACACAGCTCTATCACCATAGGGAGGGAATGTGACATTGTTTGGGGTATGAGGTCTCTGGTGGAGATAATAAGACCTATTAAAATGTGAGTTTGGTTCTGGCCAGGTGCTTTGCTGTAGGGAGAGATTTGAGCTGTATTTCTAGGTTATTCATGTCCAGATAAGAGAGTAGAATCTGCTGTAACAGACTCATGAGATATACACTAAAAAGAGTGTGAGTGGATTTAAATTCCCCATATTATAAAATAATTTTTCTTTAAAAATTAAAAAGAAATGTTTATCTTTCCCTTTATATACAGATGTAGCATTCTTTGTGTTTCTTTCTCAGTTCCATTAATGATATGTATCGGATTTATTGTGGGAGTTTTTTCTTTTTTCTTTTTCTTTTTTACTAATGGTTGCATCCTCCTAACTTTACGTCCTAAATGCTAGACACGTTATATAAATCTCAGGCTTAGAAATATTATTTATAAAACCAGGATAACAATATCAATATAGCACATTTAATATGAGATTCATTTAAAGTATAGGGAAATTATTATCTTGCTATATTTTCCAAAGAAAGAATAATCTGAGAATGGAAAATTGTTTCTTTGGGAAATAGAGCTTAAGGAACAGTAGTGGGAGCCTGACAAGAAAGAATCAGAAAAAAAGACCTGCTCCAAAGGTATATTATGAAACCAGTCACTACTAGCATTATATTACATTACAAATGTAAATTTGAACCTTTAGGGAACCATTAGAGTATCTGTGAAAAATGTCTATCAGAGTTGTCCACTACCCTACAATAATTAAGAATACATTGATCAAGAGTTTCTCTATGGAATGTTAATGCTTCCTTCTAGGCACTGTAGATGGAAGTGTATGAATTATAATGATGAAGCATTTTCCAAAAGGATTTCACACAGTAGTTATAGGGAAGCCCCAAGGCAGGAAGTCAATAAATTCAGAATTATTTGAAATTTATACAGAGAAGACATACAAGAGCAGAGGTTAGGCAGGTTGAATATAATGTTACTCAGAGTAGATCTGATGGCCAGGGACCCGTCTTTTCCCTAAACCTGGTTAGATTATCACTCAGGAGCATTACAAATGCCAGGAAACTGAAAACAGTACAATAAAAATTTAGGATGCAGAGCATTTTCAGAGCCATCTCTACAAGATTAGAGAAAGCAGCTTCTATGAAAGATGTAAGTATTTCCAGAGCCATGGATACCATCAGCTTTGTGATCTACAATGTACAGGGATCATTTGTCTTACTGGCATTCCACACAATGCAAAAAACTATAAGTAAAATTAATGATTAAAACATGTTGCTTTCTTAGCAAACAGTTTTAAAGTTTTCAAAATAACCATACTTTAAGTTAATGTCAATGTTGTGAGAAGAGATGCTATTAATCTAATTTTTAGTTAGAGACATTTGAAATTTCTAAATTGTAAGAGTTTTAACTGATTTCTTGCTTGTTTATATGTGATGAGCCAGGATAAAAATCCAGAAAATTTTACACTAATCCTGGCATTCTAAAAATTGCCTTTATTTTAATAAAACCTGATTCTGTCAATTACTTTATAAGCCCTGACACCTGCTCTGCACGGCCAGTGATTCAGCACCATTCATTTCACTGAAAGCATGAGCAAAGTTTACCTTGAACAAAATGCATTCCCAGTTTCACTGCCGTTTGTAAGATCTGATCTCTTTTCAATGATACCACTTGGATTCGAAGGAGATTAAATCCAGATGCTGTGTGCTCAGGACAGTTTCTAACGTGAACTCATTTCTATAGGACTAACAATCCAAACAATCAGTAAGAAATGGAAACCCAAGACAGTGGCATTACCCAAATACATTACCAAACACTAACTATCTGGCTCTGCAGTATGGTGTCTATTTGTAGAACACTTCTCTCCAGAGAAAGACAGACACGGAATACTACTATTTCCAATCTTGGAGGAAAACATTTCTAGCAAAACACAGGTTTTAACAGCTGATGAGGCAATATCAGTGCCTGAAAACATGGAGTTTTTCTAAAGTAACTTTTTTCACAATATATATTATAATATTTTCTAATAAATAAGAAAATATTTGGTAAATTATAAAAACAACTAAAATCATATCCTGGTACTCACTCTTAATTCATTTCAGCGCTGCTGACTGATGCCAGGATTTATGAGTACCAAATGAATGTGTTTCAAAAGAAATAACGTAATTAAAAATGATTTGTGAAAGTTCTGAAGAACTTTCACATTTTATTTAGCTAACATTATCCTTTTACTTGGCTAATATAAGCATTTTTAGGCTTAGTAATATTAGACATCCTTTAAGATCCCCATGATTGCACTTAAAATATAGAAAAGTATAAAACGTTAACAAGACCAATGCAAACACCCAGTGTTGAAACACCTTTTTCTTCTGAAAAAGTGATGAGTATCAAGTTTGTTTAGTTCCGGAGCCAATGAATTTTGAGATATGACTATTATATAAATGCTAGGTGTTATTGGTAATAAAACATTTTATTGAACTCTGCAGTGACAGATTTCAACATTAATTTCACATATGTGAGAACAGATATAAATATTTTTTGCACAAGAAATTATGATTGAAAAAAGGAACTAAAAAAAAAATACCTGGAATCTGCTGCTCTGCCTCTGTTTGATATTAAATATTTTCAAGTTACTTCCTTTACTTTACATTTCTATGAAATAGAAATCTAAAAGATTATGAACTAAATTTGGTAAAGCTTAGAGTTTGTTTTAAATCAGTTTCTACAAAGCTTACTGCACAACAGTATATGAAAACGCTCCAGGAAGTGCCAGTATTTTTACTTATGGAAATATACACTCTCATGCATTTCTGACCTAAGGTTTACCAAATAGATCCTTGCTTGAATTGCTTCAGAAAAGATCATGTAACAACAAGGCCATAAAAACCTCAGTGTGCTCAAGTTGTGCAATATAAAAGTGTTTTCAGTCATGTAAGTCCAACCAGGACTGTTCTAAATTTACTACACAGGCCAAATTTTATGTCACTGAATTTAATTATTCGAGTAGTAACAGTAACAGTGATGATTATGATTATTGTTGTTATTGCTGTTATGAATAATAAAAATTGATAATATTCAAAAACTCTATGAGATAGATGCTGTTTTAAGTATTTTGTCAGTGAAGAGAGCAAATAATTTTCTTATACCACAGCTTCTGCATTCAGAAGCTTTGCTCTCTGTGCTTCAGAAAACCAGTTCCACATCCAAGAGTCCCACTTGAGAGGATCTGCCTAGACTGACAAGAAGGGGGCACAGTCATTAAGGGGCAGTGCACAGCTCTTCTCCCAGGGGATGACATACCCGGTCAGTTTTCCCTTCTGTCTGAACACTGGTGTGGCTGCGAACCTCATGATCCTCTTCCAGATCAGAAACATCTTCTAGTTCTTCTGGAGTCTAGAAAAAGAAATGACATTGTTATAGGAATGGAAAATTCCATTTTAGCCACTTTGGAAAGGTGTCGGAACTATTTCCCAAGGGAAATCAGACCTAGCAGTTCTACTCCCAGTTATATACCAAGACCAATGAAGGCATAAGTCAGTACAAAACCTACCCACAAATGTTCGTAACAACATTATTTATAATAAGTGGTTGCAAGTCAAGCATATACTACTAACGAAGGGATAAACAAATGTGTTACATCTAGAAAATAGACTATTATTTGGCCATTTAAAGGAACAAAATACTGATACATATTTCATCATCATTATGCTAAGTGACAAAAATCAAGTCACAAAAGTACACATATCATAGGAGAGATTTATACGGAATATCTGGAATGGGGAAATCTATAGAAGCACAGATTTGATTATTGTTTCCCAGGAGCTGAGTTAGGAGAATAACAATGACTGCCAGTGGGTACGTGGTTTCCCTTTGGAGTGATAAGAACAATCTGGAATTTGATTGTTGTAATCATCACACAACTTTACGAATACATTAAAAATCATTGAGATTTACAATGTAAAATAGTGAGCTTTAGGGTGCATAAATTATATAACAATAAATTTTGAAGTAAAAAGAAAGCAACAGTGCTCAAAAGGAAATTTTTTACTCGATCGATGGCAATTTGTCTGCCCAACAGGTGATTGCCACAATTAAAGGTGCTTATAATAAAGAAATAAAATGATTATTAAAATTGTAAACAATCAAAATGTCTCCAATATAATCAAGAAATTACATTTTCTAGGGACTTAAGCAATAAATCATTTAACTTGAATTTCAGTGTGCATTATAAAAAGCCAATGCCCATTCCACTTTTTCAGTCTTAGCTCGAACATCTGTTTGGGGAAGTAGCTTGCTCAGAAACTCTCTAGACTGGCTTGAATATCTTTGCAAAGTGTTTCCTTGTCCCTCTGCTTTCACTGTCATAGAGAGCTAATTGTTGAGCTACTTTGTGAGGCAAGGACAGACCATCTCTGCTTATTTTGTAATCTCCACAAGTTAGCACACACATGCTTGTGAATGAATGAAGCAAAATGATCAGTGATAGCAATAACGACATCTGGTAATGAGAAAAACAAAGTAGATCACACACACAGAAAGACCTGTTCAGACAACACGTCACAAAGCTTCCACCTTCCATATTTTGCATCAAGATTTTATTTTTTTGTGTTGCTTATTTCAATTCCATGTCTTTATTTCCTTAGTTTTGTTTTAATAATAATTGAAAGTTATCTATTATTATTACAATAACAGATAAATAAACTTAATAAAAACTGGCTTAATATTTGTGTTAACTTACCCAGTTTGCAACTATATTTCTTTGCTACAAATCTTGACTGACAAACCCAGAAAACAAACATCTAATTTTTATGAAAACAACCAAAACTGAAATGTATTGCATTTCTTACGGACTTGTAATATTGAAGACTGACCTCCTATAATTTCCTTTAACACTACTTTGCAAAAAGTATTTTGAGTATTTGTGTGATTGTCAAGGGCCTGCATCTCCTTGGGGCCATTCTAAAGATAAGGACAGATAATGATTAACTCACTGTGGACCAAAACTACTCATTTCACATCAGCTAATAAACTTCAGATTCTGCTTCATTTCGTGAATCTTTAACCAACATTTTATTTGTTCTCAAAAACATGAATACTTCCCATACCTCTACAGAAGAAACTTTTATATTTATCACAATCAAGTTCTATAAGATTTTAATAGTTTCCCTCTTATCAAGGCCCCGGGTGTGCTGAGCATTTGTTTTCTATGTTTGTTCTTTTGCAGTTCTTCTTTTATATAACTGTGAGCAGCAATAATCATAGGGCAGTTTGTTCTCTTTTCTTACATATTACTAGCACGAGTTTATCAGTGAGTAATGTCTAGAAAAATCATTTTTAGCCATCTGGTATATTCTTTTAACATATTCTAGACAAAACACCTATGAAATTTCCTGTCTTCATTCATTATGAGGCCCTATATCATGAGAGTAAACTTAGTTGTTTAAATTTCTTTGAATCCTGTCATTTGAATTTGAAGCCTCTGGTGCTACTTCCCTGATCTGTTTTCTTTAAGTGCCTGTTGTTTATTACTTGAACTACACTTTATCATGTAGTGATGTATAGTTTCATCTATTCCAATGTTTTACTCAACCCCAAGCTGAAGTAAGTCAGCAAAAACTAAGAGCAACTGTTGTTGTTGGAAGTCAAAAGCACCATTTTCTTCTCGGGATACTGGAGAACAAGATAAGCACACCAATTACGCCCACATACTTTTCTGCTTCTCTTTGTCTGTAACATGGCACTAATAGCTGTCTTGAAAAGCCACCTAAACTGACCTCTTTCTTTTCATGAACAACATCAGTGGGAGAATGTTCAAAACACTTTTGGGCAGCACTTCACATTCTGTAAGACTAGAGGTTGGATGGTGCTATGAAAATAAGTTAAATGCATATTGTTTAAATTAAATGGAAACTAAGGAAGAGATAAGAGTTTTCAACTCAGTTTTGGGGTAATATATTAACTTCTTCAGCATTACAGACAAATAATAAAAAGAGCAAAACTTTTTAACAAGGACTAAATAATGATGAACTATCTTATACAGGGTACCTTTTAAAATAGTAAGATTTCATTGAACTGGTGACTTTAGAAACCTGAAAGAAGTGTGTGTGGAGGTGGAGGATCGGATCAATTTTAATATAAGGAGAGATTAACAGACACTCAAGGAAATGCCATTTTGCGGAAATACCCCCTATTATGCATTTGAATTTTAGACTTCTAATGAGTGACATAGGTCTTTCAGCAATCCATGTAACTTTGAAAGTTTAGCTTCCTCAGAAAAAAATGTAATAATATTTCTTAATCTGCAAATGGCTATGATTCTTAATGCCACTATATTTAAGGGTTTAGTGCACAGACACACCTGGGGTGCAGCCGAAGTTTATTTCTCTCTGTTATTTGTTTTCTCCCCTTTCTGTATTACCTATCCTTTATTTCATATAACTCCTATATACTTTATATAAATTTTAGGTAAGTGTATATGCCTTTATTTTAATGCAAAATTATTTTTCAACTGAGACTTTGGACAAGTTACTAAATATCTCTGTTCCTCATATTCTTCAGGTATTGTTCTGGAATGACAAGGAACTTACTAACTGCTAGTTACATTCATTTGACTTTCACTATAAAATGTAATTATGCTAAATAGGGTTTAATATAGGTCCATATGTTTTAATTCTTTAAAGACTAAGTAAATATCTCTCTTGACTGACTTTTCTCCATACATTAAAACTATCTTTTAAACTGGCCTCAGCCAAGATTTACTCCAACAGAAATTCTCGAGGATGATAGAAATGATGTTTTCTCTACACTGGGCTGTTTCTAAAACTAACCCTCTGCTGGATATCTTTCCAAATTCATTAAAACAATCATATCACAGTGATATATGCACACCTATGTTTATAGCAGCACAGTTTGTAATAGCTAAAACTTGGAAACAGCCCATTTGCCCATCAGTTGGAAACTGGATAAAGAAGATGTGGTTTTTCAATAAAATGGAATACTACTCAGACATAAAGAATGAGAAATTAAGAGTAATTCTTAGGAAAATGGGTACATATTGAGGATATACTCCTAAGTGAAATAAATAAGTCACACATGTGTAAATACCAAATAGTTTTTCTAGTGTGAAAAACTAAAAGGGTACGTAAGATCCTAATGAGATAATTGACAATGTGAAATAGGAAGAAAAGGGCTGAAGATGTAGAGAAAGTGGGAAAGCTAGGGGAAAGGTAATAAGGGAAAAGAAAAAAATGAGAAAATGAAAAAATAGAAAGAAAGTATTTGTAAATGGGGAGGGGAGGAGGGAGTGAAGGGAGGGCAGGGACAAGGGGAAAAATGAGAACCAAGACCTGTCATGGAAAGGTGCAAGACCCCAATGATAAATGTAACTGTACTGTGTACCTAACATGTACCAATAAACTCAATGAGAGAAAAAAATAAAATAAAACTAACCGATATGAAAATGCCTCATTTCCCCCAAATATTTCTAAGAAATACAAGAACTCGTCAGTTGCCTCCCATATCAAAATACAGGAAAGTTATTTCTTATTTTTCTATTTAAATTATTTATTATAAAATCTTCTGTAGGTAACCCCAAAATGATCTGCAGTATGCTTACTTTCATCACCTGTGAAATAGTAAAACTGCAATTACTTAGTATTACTGTGAAGAAAAAAATAAGATGATGGACTGGAACATTATTCAGTGAGTAGAAAATACTGAGTTTTCAGCATTATTTTTGATATATAATTATTTTTAAAAATCTAATTTTACACAAAAAAAGGATAAAACAGTATAGCACAAGAAACATTCGGGTTGAGGTATTTATATGGCAGCTAGGTCAGCAATAAAATAGTATATACATATATATAAATATATAATGCATATATGTGTGTGTGCATATTTCTTATTATTTTTCTAACATCTGTAGGGAATTGAATAAGTGGCTGTATTTTAACTGAAAATTAAATTTTACGGACCATAAATATTTAAAATTGAAATTTGAAAAAGAAATCTTTGTCATCAAACATCTTAGCCAAGCAAAACAAAAGAAGGAGAAGCAGGGCCTGCAGGAGGAGGGGGAGGAAGATGAAGGGGAGGAGGAGGAGGAGGCACAGAAAAGAGAAAAAGATGAAAGAAAAAAACAAAGGAAAATGATACGCTGAAACAAGAGATATATGTGGTTCACTATGAGATTTCAGTTTGACTTCACAATCATACTTAGGATTTCCTGACAAGTCATTCTTCTCTGACTATCCTTCTCTGACTTACTAAATTCCAGTGGGTACCGTGGTAACGTCAGTGGTGGTCTAACACTCAGAGAAGACCTTGGGACAGATACCAGGGTGTCTACCCCAAGGAAGACGCTTACATCACATGTCATTGACTTAGCTGCGGTGGTAACTAATGACTTCGAAATGTCAACGTACAAAGCCAGTAATTAAAGTATGTTTACAAACAGGAATAAGTGTTCCTACGTTTATTTTTATTAGTATGTATTTGCAATGCATAATGTGTCCATTATTTGTGTGGGGTTGGTGTACGCACATAACACGTAGAAATCTCTGTTTTCATCTCTTTCCTTTCCTCTCTCTAATATCTCTTCATTCTCCTTCTCATTTGAGAGAGATCTATCTCCCTACCTCCTATTATCTAGCTTTTATTTTGCTATTTATTTATAATTTGGCTTTCTTACATACGAAATAAGAGATAAGAGATGCCATGTAATATTTGAGCTTGTGTGTCTGATTTATTCCCCTTACCATTATGGTTTCATGGAGTATCAATTTTCCTACAAATGACTCATTTATCTTCTTTATAAAGATACATTACAGTGATATATGCATGACCATGCTTATAGCAGCGCAATTCATAATAGTTAAATATCATAAGCAGCCTATATGTACAATAACAGATAAATGGATTAAAATGTAGTATTTACATTAAAATGTGGGATTTAGCTCAGTGGTGCCAAGCCTGCCTAAACAAGCTCAAGGTCCTGAGTTTGATCCTTGGTACTAAGAAAAAAAAATGTGTTTGGAGACTGGATAAAGAAGATGTGGTTTTTCCATAAAACAGAATACCGCTCAGACATAAAGAATGAGAAATTAGAGTAATTCATAGGAAAATGGATACATTTTGAGGATATACTCCTAAGTGAAATAAATAAGTCACACGTGTAAATATTGAATAGTTTCTGTGGTGTGAAAAACTATAATAGTATATGAGATCCTAATGATATAATTGACAATGTGAAATAGGAAGAAAAGGGATAAAGTCATAGGATAAATGGGAAAGGTAGGGGAAAGGTAATAAGGGAAAAGGGAAAAAAATGGAAGAAAAGTATTTGTAAATAGGGAAGGGAGGAGGGGGTGAAAGGAGGACAGGGATAAGGGGAAAAAATGAGAACCAAGACCTGTCATGGAAAGGTACAAGATCCCAATGATGAATGTAACTGTACTGTATACCTAAAATGTAGCAATAAACTCAATGAGAACAAAAAATAAAATACACAACAGAATTTTTTTTAAAATGTGGTATTTACATGTAGTGGAATACTACTCCACTATTACTTCTGTTTTTAATGTTTGGAGAAATCACCATAGTAACTTCCATATTTGTTAAATGTATAGATATTAAAATGTATCATTTTTTATTCCCACTGGAGAATATAAGAGCTCTGATTTCTCCACATTTTCATTAAATCTTATTTATTTGATAGCTTTCCTTTGTAGTTTGCCTTTTTGGTTTTTGTTTGTTTGTTTGTTTGTTTGTTTCCTTTGTTGTATGTAACATTTTTAGTTTAACGTAGTCACTCTTGTCTATTTTTGCTTTTGGTGCCATCCAAAAAAATTATTTCAAGAACAATGTCTGCAGCATTTCCCCTGTTTTCATCTAGTAGTTCTAGTTTAAGTATTAGTTTTAACTCTTTAATCTGTTGTTTGTATGTATTCTATAAGATGAGTTTGATTTCATTATTTTCCATGTCAATATCCAGGTTACCAAAACCGCTGTTGAAAAGAGGCTATCATTTTCCAGTTTGTATTCTTAGCATACTTGTTGGAATTCCATTTACTGTATATGCGTGGGCCTATTTTTGAGTTCTATAGTAAAGTGCTGTGTGTATTGTTTTTATGCCAGTATCCTACTGTTTTTATTATTTTTAATTAAATTTATTGATACATTTTAGGTATACATAATGATCATATTCATCATAGGGAATTTGTACTTGTACATGATTTATCTTGACTCTTATTTTTTTTCCATTCCCTTACCCTTTCAACCCTATCTATACCATATTTTTTAAACCAAGAGCATAGTATGACACTCCCAGATTTTATCTTCTTTCTCAAGATTTCTTTGGCTTTTCAGAGTATGTTGTGATTCTGTTCATTTTATAATTATTTATGAAAACCCACAGGTAATACGATAATCAATGAAAAACTAAAATCTCTTCCCCTAACATTAGGTAAAAGGTAAAAATGTTGATTCTGTTTTGTTTTACTATGTTTGCAGTGAGTAATGATTATTTTGTTGTGGGAAGTTGGTACATAATACATCTCATTTCTTTTTTTTTTTCATTCGCTTCCCTTCCCTTTCTCCTCTTCCATCTCTTGGTCCTCTTCCTTTTTGTAAAAGATCTAGCTTTCTGTTCCTTATTATATTTCAGTTTTGCACTGTAACTTATTCATTTTGAATTTTTCCTATAAGAAAATTTATCTTTTATTTAACATAGTACTGGAAGGCTTAGCCAGAGCATTTAAACCAACAGAATGAAATAAAAAAATACGAAAATCAGAAAAGAAGTAAAATTCTGTCTGCTTGGAGGTTACAAATGTTACACATAGAAATCCTAAAAACTCCACAAAACTTATAAACTAATTCAGTAATGTTAGACAGTAGAAAACCAACATGATAAAATCGATTATGCTTTTAAACACTAATCACAAATTATACAAAAAAGAAACTAAAACAATGTTCCTATTTACTATAGAATGAAACAGAATAAAATTTGTAGGAATAAACTAAACCAAGAAGATGAAATACTTGAACACTAAAAACTATGAAGCATTGCCCAAAGAAATTTTAAATAGACACAAATAAATGTTCATGTCTTAGAAAAATTAGTATTTAAAAATATCAATATTACCCAAAGGGATCTACATGTTCAATGTACTTTCCATTAAAATCCAAATTGATTTTTTTTCTGAAATGTAAATAAAATCTCTCTGTGTTTCATAACACATTTTTTTTTTCTTTTCCAGCATAGTTAGATAGGATAGTTAGACTAGGATAGTTAGACTAGGATAGTATGCGGCCTGGCAAACACTTGATACCTTAAAAGCTACAATGATTGAAATATACTTTAACAAGGCTAAATTCCAGAATAAAATCTATCCTAAAGTTAGAGGAATAAAATACTTCTAAATGTACAAAAGGGTAAGACTAAACATGCAATAAATAGAACTTGTGCATATAAATGTGGGAGTCATACAGTTGGTCATATATTTTCTATGAAATAAGCCTCCAGATTGTCATTACTTAGAAACCTACCCAGACTACCAGTAATCAAATATCCAAATATTTGATACCTGTGGTTTAGTTCAGATTATAATGATTACCATAGGAGATAATAATAATCACTAAACTTTATATTAGGCCTTTGTAAGGACTCAAGCAATCTTGAAGGTTAATCATATTTCAGTCCCTCTCTCTGTCAGGAAATGAGTGAGCAGTCAATTCCTCTGCTCCTAACATATCAATGAAGCAAATAGCTTCAGAAAAGCACAGAGCCAGGCAGCAAGGGTCATAAATGAAAGTGACATCATCAATGTCATTATACTTGCTCAGCTACCAAATGAGTTGGTGATAAAACTTTCATTCTCATAGCTGCATGCCTAATTCATGGAAATTGTTATAAGAAGTATACCATTCATAACTTTAAACAAAGATACAAAAGAGTAATAAAGCCAGGAAGAATAGGCTTTGGTGAAATTATATTTTTGGAAAGTTCAAATATTGGAAATAGATAGACTCAACTTAGGATCTTTGACATTCTGCTCTTTGAGAACAGAAAAATGAAGTGATCATTTTTAATCAACAGATTAATATAACTTATATAATTCACAGCAAAACTGTTTATCTTGCATTGCTTTTTTAATTCATTCTTAACAATAACTCTGAGAGGTTTTTTGTAAGTATCATAGCTTAGAACACTGAGCTTTAAAATTAATCAAATTTGTCCAGTCTCGTATAATTAATAAAGGACTAATTCAGAATTGTGTCTAACACTTGTTTATGTACTGTGTGCTGAGTAGTCACAAATGCATGGTAAATGTGGGAATTAAAGACAAGTCTAAAAAATCAGCTTCAAACAGGATACATATGTACTTCTCAGAGAGCAAAGCAAGCCAGGTAGTGGGAATTTTGAGCATCACAACAATGGCTTGGTCTTCAGTTCCCTCCTTCACTAGTTATGAATTCTGGACCATAATAAGGTTGGTGCCAGAAGTTCCTCTGCTCCACTGCTGCCCTTTTTGAAGCAGATACTCTCTTAGAAAACCAAGAAAGTTTATTTAGTTCCCAGGCTAGTCCTCTAGCTCTAACTTATAACAGGATTGAGATGAATTCAATTTTCACATATATTATGATAAAAAAATGTCAGTGGACCTGAAAAATATCCCAAGTCATTCCCTTTTCTTTTAAATTGCTTTCATTAAGCTATATTAATCACCAAAACTACTAAAGGATTGAGGGTGTTTTGGGAAAATCTATGAGTGTATGTACTATTTCTAAATTATTAACAGAAAACTTTTGGTGACATAAAAGTTCTTACAGTAAGGCTAAATTGTGGCAGATCATAATATAAATACTGACTATTTGATTTTACATCAGATACTGTTCTTAATATCTTGTGATATCAAACAAGAGCTTAGCTTTTGGGAAGATAGCTTCCTTAGAAATAAATGAAAGGATTGGAGTGATGATTTCATTCAGTTCTTCGTTCAGCTTCATTCAATTCTCTTGTCAATTCTGTAAGACTATATCAGGTTTAGTTACAACCTATCAGAGAAGATAATGAGGGTTTATTTAATAAAACTGAATCCAGGTATGGAGCAACATGCTTGCAATTCCAGTATTATAGAAGCCTGAGGAAGGGGGACCACAAGCTAAAGCCCAGTCTGAACAACTTAGGGGTTTAAGAAGACTCTAAATAAAAATAAATACAATAAAATAAAGGCTGGGTATATAGATCTATGTAAAAGTGCTGGGTTCAATCCCTAGTATCACAAAAAATTAAAGTGTTGGGATACTATTCTTTTGAAATGCCAAAAATCATTTTAGATCATAAATTTCCTTTGGATTGCTCTTACTTTAGGAAACTAGATACAGTGTTCTAAGTTTCTTTTGCCCAGGATTATATAGAATGATGTGACCATTCCTCATATACAGGAATTA